ATGTTGATATTGAGGAGAGAAATAATGAGAATTTACATTTACACACCCAAGATGGAGAAGAACTTGAAGCCAAAAAGGGTCAAGAGACAATAAGAGATGCACAAAACAATGTTGTTATTGGGGATGACACAATACAAGAAGAGCCTGTTGAAGTTGAACAAGCGATAAAGGAACTTCTTGAGTCTCTGTCCCATATTGTAAGTAGCTCATTCTATTCTATACCCTATCACTTAACTTGATATTTTTTTAATAACTATTGTTCTTTTGTAGACTCGTCTTGCGTCATCTATTATAGATACTGAAGCTCGAGTTGACCAAGAACTAATAAAAGATGCACAAGATAATATTGTAACTAGGGACAAGACACTACAAGAAGATCCCGACCAAGTCGAACGACTAGTACATTATGTTCTTAAGCCTATACCCCTTACGGTAAAAAGCTCATTCTATATTGTACCATATTATTTAACCTAATAACATGTTTAATAAATTTTGTTCTTTTGTAGACTCGCTTTGTTGCATCTTTTGTAGATACTAAAGCCCAAGAGGGCCAACAATCAAAAATAAATTTTGAAATAACATTGATTAGAGATCAACCAATAATGATGTCAAACGCATGATCATTTGTCTTAGAGAAAACTCCTAATGAAGTCGAGCTGAACAGACAATATATTCGTGAACAGATTGTAATGACACTCTCAGGTTTAGGAACCCCTATAGTCATCTTTAGCCATAACAACAACTCCCATGTAATCACCTTTGTGATTGTGGTACAAAAAATTAGCTCGTCATAGTGTGAACCACATCTTTATTTTTCATGTTGTAGTTTATAAGTATTGTTTTCTTTTGCAGCCTCGTCACGCGACGTCTTTTCTTGAATATCCTAGTAGATCAATAGTACCACTTGAGATGCAGCATGTAATCGATGACTGCATTGCCAGATACATTGAGTAAGTAACTGTACACAATAGTTTTAATGTTATGAAGGTTTTTATATTCAATTATCACAAGATTTCTGTCTTAACGATGCAGACATGATATTATCGTAAACAAATGTTCTAGGATTGTAATCAATCTGGCGAGCCTGGAGAATATATCGCTGAATAGGTGGTTTGCAAACAAACATGTTGATGTTTTTGCTAACATATTGCATGAAAGAACGATTAGGTCACTTGAATTATACAGATCATACATTTATGTAACGCCGCAATATTGAGTAATCACACAAGTTTAAGTCATCCATATAGATTTTACTTATATCTTCATTGCACACTCAATTCAAAGTATCCTTTTATGCAGATGCATATGAAATTTAATAGCGCAACTTTCTTGCAACATATCACAAAAGAAACTGTTAAATATGTTCAAATCATATTATTTCATATCATTGATAACCAACATTGGACTTTGTTAAGGATATTGCTCACCAAGTTGTAAGTATATCTAACAAAATTTTTATTCTTTTTGTATTGTTGGAGTCAATACCATCAGTAACAAGCCATTACCACACCATTACCCCACCAACAACAACACACAAATAACACATCAATGACACACTAATAACGCACCAATAACATATAAATTACACACCAATACCACACCACCAACAACTCACCAATAACACACTAAGAAGACATTAATAACGCACCAGTAACACACCAATAAAACACCAATAACACGTCAATAACACACAAAAAACACACCAATACCACACCGCCAATGAAACAACAATCACACACCAATAACACATCAATAATGCACCACTAATACATAAATAACACGCCATTACCACACCAACAACAACACATAAATCACACACCAATAACACACCATTACCACACCAACAATAACACAGAAATCATACACCAATAACACACCTATAACACACCAATAACACACTAATAACACATCAATAACACACTATTAACACACCAATAACACACAAACAACACACCAATACCACACCACCGACAACACATTAATAACACTTCAATAAAACACCAAAAACACACCATCACCATAGCAATAAATCAGGAATAACATATCAATAAACTTTACAGGTCAAACTATTTGCAAAAGATGTCGCCCATGCTTTCAGAGTCAAACTTGAGAAATGGTCACTTACACTTGTTAAGAGTGTACTCGCTCAAAATAATAATGTTGACTGCGAACTGTTCATTTGCAAATAAATGAAAAAATTAGTATAGGCTCGAGAGGGCGATTGGAGCGAGAATCTGAATTGGCAGACAGATATGGAAATATTTAGAATTGAATTTGTCTGTGTCATTTGTATCTTGTCCAAGGCTAAATAATAAACGATTTTTCCGTCTTTTAAGGATTTCACACATTTTATGTTCGAGAATTTAATAAAATGTAATTTGTACAGTTCTTTAAATACATGTATATACATTCAATTTGTCCCTTTAGAATTTGATATATTTGAAAATGTAATGTAATATGTACATTTTTTTACTTGTACATTTTGTTGTTTAATATTTTAATATAAAGTGCAGTTAATTTTAGAAACTATCTTTCATAATGTTGTTAAATAATATAAATAAATCCACAGAAATATGAATATAACAGGGGAAAATGCCCATAACATTTGCATAACACGATGAGATACATTCAATTTATCCCATAACACAGCGTCAGTGCATATATCACAGAATAACACATCGAATTTAAAAATAACTCTGTTTAAATCGCGGAATAACACATTGAATTTTAAAATAAATCGGTTTAAATCGCCTTATAACACATCAAATTTTAAAATAACTCGATTTAAATCACGGCATAACACATAGGAAATATTCCCCTAAACCGAGGCATAACATGTGAGAAATATTCCCCTAACAGCGCGATACAACATGGGGAAGATTCTCATAATGCAAAGATATAACATGGGGGCAATATTCCCCTAACAACGCGATATAACATGAGGAATATTTCTATAACATAACGATATAACACGGGGAGAATATTTCCCTAATTTTGCGGTATACACGGGGAATATTCTCATAAAGTGTTATTCAGATATTATTTTTGTGTTATTGTTGTGTTATTATGATATGTTAAGGTGGTATTGAGGTGTTACTGAGGTTTTGTTATTATCTTATTCATGTTTTATTAAAATAGAGATGGTATTGAGGTTAGTGAGGTGCTATTGTGGTGTTTAGATGTATTATTTTAGTGGTGTTGAGATTGTATTATTGTTTTATTGTATTTTTATATTATTTCTGT